CACACATTCTTCAATAGCATCCATTACTGGTTTCAATTCTTCTTTAGTAAAAAATGAAGGTACCAGTACAAACCCATCATTGAAGTATTGCTTGACTTGTTCAGGAGACAATTGACCTGGTTTCTTATCTTTTGGTTGAGGAGGTGGAATTGTGTACACTTCAGGAGCAGTCTCAACTGTTGCAGCTACAAAAAGAGTAAATAAATGACTGAAACCCTTTTAGAACTGTTACCTAAGCTGTAGCTCCTGTTTATAAAGGCAGCAGTGATGGTTTTAGGAGCTCTTGCTAGCAGAGAAGCTCTTTTTGCAATCCTGAAAAGAGCAGCCATACTGGATCTTTCGAGTCAGCAAAATTTCTTGAGCCACACCCTTCAAAAAAGGCGTGTGTTATTCTATTAATTGACTATGAATAGATAATGAGTTGATTGTGCACATAAATTAAGAATAAAGTTTAAATTTCTTGAAGTATTTCTGAATGTCTGATTTGACATAAGGTCTTGTAGCTAAACATGTAGGGTAATTCTCAGGTTGCTCCACCCACAACTTGTACTGAACTCCTCCTTCACTCAGAGACGCTGATAACTGCTTTAAATCATCTTCATTCTTAGCCTACAGTATACCATATAGCATAACACTTTAAAAAATTGCATACGGTCTAATTTCACCTCAAGGACTATTTTATGCATGCTATCCAAATTACTGAGATATGTCTGAACCACTTCCTCATCACGATAAAGATGAAGAGCTGCTGTTGATGCATGACATGCTTGGGCTACCAGTGCTCCAATTGGCCAGTTGAGGGCTGTCAGCAAATCTCTTCTAAGTACAATGTACTGTACAATAGCTGCTCCTGCCATGTCAGTGATAGGTGTGGTGGTTAACATCAATCAATAGTCAATACAGCTTTAAAATAACAAAAATTTAATGCAGCAGAAATACACAAAGTTATCAAACAGCTTATGCAATTGTTTCTAGTTTAAGCTTTTGTGTGAGAGTGCCAGGAGCTTCCACCTGCTTTAAAGGACTCTGTGTGTCTGTTTGGGTGTGTTATGACCCATCGATTCATCCAAGGACCATGTATTGTTGTATCAAATGCATTTGTTTTCTCTTCCTCAGTGACATCAACACCCATCTGAAGTTTATTACGATCCAAAGCTGCAAATCCTTCCCAATCGATTACATAGTTAGGATTATCAGCTGAACGCATCAATATGGATTCCTTAAGACCATGGAAACCATTGGATTTATCAGGACGCTGCCAACGAAGGTCAAGGCTCCAGCGTACTTTATCAGAAAAGTTTTCAAGACTTCTGTGAGGAATGCAGTTATTGAGGAAGAGGACTCCACCCAAAGGTACTTCACAAGTGACCACGTCAGTCTTCATGTTAACTCCAAGAGTTTTCTCCATCTCTTCCTCAGCTAAATCAACATACCAAGTACCTCCAGCACAGCAGGTATGAGTAGCAGTCTTACCAGCCCGATGCCCTCCTTTGACTACTTGCATGCAACCATTGAGCTTTGTAGCATCTAGGAGTGGTATCCAGGCTGTTGCTTGATGAGTAGTGAGGCATGTCTCATCAAGGTATGCATGTC